TGAGCATTGTGATGGAAATGTCGCTGCTGTGCACTGTCTTTAAATCAAGACTGATATCCCTTGACAAACCTTTAACATCTGCCATAGAAAACAGCTGCTGCTGGATTTTTACTGTCGTGCATATCAATGATTTGTTATCAGCGAACAGCTTCCAGATACTTAACAGCTAAGAGTGCATTCAAGTAACGTGCTACAACAAAGACATGATTTAATGAACGCGGCGTGACAGAAATGCTTAATTAATGCATCGTCAGGATCTGATTTTTCTCATGATTATTGAACTTAATAGCCTGTTTGGATAAAATAAAATTTGAGTTGAATTTTAATTTTCAGCAGACCGGAACACAGTACTTTCTCAGCCACAAACTCTTTTCATTTGTCGACGTATAACGCCCTTCCATGATCTTGATCTTGATTGGAGTTGCTCATTTACGACAGCATCATTCTTCCCGTCGCACGATGATGGATTTATGAAAGCGTTTTTAAAAATTTGATACTTTGAACCGATACTGTGATAATGCAAGACTGATGGAAGTCATTACATCAGGTTATACCGCAGCACTGCACCTTTCCGTTGCTTCTAGATGCCTTGGAGTGCAGGTCACAACTACATCATGGTTAAGGGCGTGTAGTGCATGGGGCACATACTCCGCTCGCTCGAGTTAGTACACGCCAATTCTTGGCTGTTAAGAGAGCAAAATGAATACTCTCACAATACAATGCTTATGAATCCTCAAGCATTACAAAAAATTATATATTTACACCTGTATAGTGAGTTTAATTTTCGAAATATGGATGACAAAGGCCAGTGTTTTGCTCGCATTAGTCGAAAAATTAGCCTTTATTATTGAATGCTTCCCTCCAAGCTAAATCTTCGTTTCAAGTAATTCACTGTAACACCTTTAACCCTATTACTCATCGTTTTATTTCTTTTCCATTTTGCCATTTGATATTGATTTCATATTTTGTTACCATGTAACTTACTTTAGTTAGATGCGTTTGCTTTTTTGGTTAGTCATAGTTTGAAAATGGAAAAATATCTAGGGCTGTGAAGTGTTGCTGACTATGACAATTGATGCCTGTTACTTGATATGAGTCTTGATGCATCCATTTCATTAGTGCATACAGACAATCCAGCTCTAAATGTTTTAAATTCAAACATTTATGCACTTACCCGTTTGTTTGCCGACTTGTTCATTCACTATTTCATTCATTCATTTATTGTTTATCACACATTCACTCACTCATTTGATCATTCGTCTGTCCAATGGGTCACTCATTCTTTCCTCAATTGTCCTACACTCATTCATCGCCTCATTCACCGAACCAATCAATAACTCATTTAGTCATTCATTCGTTCACCGGTTCAAGTATTCTTTCGTTCGCTCACTCATTCACTCATTAACTCGCGCTGACTCACTCATTCAACTGCTTAATTCACTTTTAGTTTATTGCTTATTCGTTCATTGAATCATTCGCTCACTAACTCACTCTCTGACTCATTCACTCAGTCATTAGTAAGTTCACTTTGACATTATTTGTCATATTCAGCTGTTCCGGGAGGGAGCAGTTTCAAGGAGCATTTTCAAACATCCGAGATAACGTCAGTTTTTTAACTTCCATGAACTAATTATACAGGTGCTTCACATACTTGAATAACCTTTGATTTCATGCCGTGCATTAAATCCGATTACAGACGTTTATGAATTATGTGATAGCAAACATTTATTGTGCAAAATGGATAAAACGGGTGATTGAAATTCTTTCTAAGAATTGGGAAAGCAACAAAAAGCACAGTCACACGCTTTAACCATAATTCACTGCTTAGCATGGCTGATGATGCTAAATCTGTAAAATTTTGAATGGTTGACGTCAAGGTTACATCTGTGTATTTATTGCATATATTAACTCTTTGATGTGCTATTTCTGGCTGTTAGTAAAGGAAGATCTATGCAGCTGTACGGCGCATGGAAAACCTTGAGGGATGAAGCCCGCTTTTCGTCCTATTCACTAAAATAATATCATCTGCGTATTCTAGGTCAGCAGGATATCTGGCCGGATACTCTGAGCTGCGCCTAACATCTACAATGTGATGCTCATCTACGCTAAGATGAACTCCGTTTTAGATGAGATAGTCAAAAATCAGTGTTGAGTTGAGCCAATGATTAAGATGCGAGTTGCCTAGCAGCTAAATTCATTATGAGTGTATAATGACGAATTCCCATCATGAATTTTAAAGTTCAAATATGAATGAAATTTGGGTAAGATACAGTGTTCTTACAGAAGATTTATTTAGCTGAAGAATAGTGTGCAAAAACAAGTAAATCTGACCTTTCTAAGACTGATCGGTCGAAATATTGCCGTCTGTTTATAATTAAAATGAACATCATGACCAGCCATGGAAAATTTCGAATTCAGTTTCGCCCTCGTTTAGCAGAAACACAAAATTGTGTGGAACTTTGGCAAATTTGAGATGACCACTTTGTACAGAAGAAAGTTGACGTCATTTTACAGGATTAGACAATATTATTTTGCGTTTTCCTTACTTTGCCGTTCGAACGAGCGAAGATCTTATTTTCCTGTGCATTTTCTAATATCGCTAATCAAGCACTTTCAG